GTGATATTACTACGTTGTGTTAATGATGAGGAATTCGAAATCCTATGGAAATCTTCGGTATTTACTATCATCCCGCAACTATTTGTTGCTTTTCGTAGTGAAGTCAGTGGTGTTGCAAAGTAGAGCCTCCACGATTCGTCTCATACTCCGAGTATGATACTCCGAGTTACGAGTATGATACTCGCAAATGCGACGACCTCGCGTGGTCCATTTTTATCGATAATTCATCGTAGTGACGTGGTGGAATGATGGCAGACCTACTTGGAGACTCTCACCCGGAAGAAGACCTTGAGCATCGAGGCTTAAGGTTGATGAGGAAGACTTGATGCGGCATCAATGATGCCCGATCTCAAGAAGGAAGAGGCAGGCGGCACTTCCAATGTCATCAGTAGTGGACAGGTGCCGATCCGGCCGAAGTTCCTTCGGCCACATCGGCACCTCCTTCGGCGAAGGATGATGATTTTGTGGCGCGTGAAGCTGAGGGACCTATAAAAACCTGTCCTTATATAACCAAGTATGGGAGAATATGCACATGGTCAATTATGCCTGTTGACGACGATGATGATGATATGGAAATTGCGATGGAGCTTCTGTGCACTTGCAATCTCCAATGGAGATTCTCAGTGTAGACTCTCAGTGGAGATTCTCCATAGTGTAGAGTCTACACTGTAGACTACACTACACTACACTCTGTACTACTGTAGAGCCTGTAGTGACGCAACTCCCGACCTCGTATTATCCAACGTTGAAGTAGGTATCTTCTGTGGATGTTAGATACGAACGTGCTCGGATTGTCAGAACTAGATCGTTACAGATCTCGCTGAACCCTCTACTCTGCTCTACCCTGTAGTGGTCGATATTGAAGGTGAGACGGATCCAATGGCAATCGCTGAAAAGAAATCGTTGGCTGAGCTCGACCCTTTTATAGTGACGTGGTTCCTCCCGATACAACGTGGGCCCCCTTCGATCCATTGGAGAAATGATGATCAGGTAGGAGGATTGGAAAGTTAAGGAGTTGGTGCAGGACCCTCAAGGAAGGCCATTCTTCCTATCGATGCAAAATATCTTTTTACAACCTATCACCACATTCGTAACGCTCTTTACAGGGCTCGGAGGAAATCTTCCGAAAAGTAGCGGCGAGAATTCAAATACAAACTCCGGCGTTATCTTCGAGAAGCGCCAATATCACATACCACTATACACCTACTCACGCCAAACAACAAATCGTCGTGATCTGCCTTATTCAGCGCAGTGGGTTATAAGTATGAGCGGTCAGACTTTTAGACGACCGCCATATCACTCGCCTGGGTGGATCTTCGGCGAAGAGTAAAGACGATGTTCTCATCTGCCACCGTTACACCATTGCTCTCGCCCGCCCAAGAAACGCTGTGGTAACGGCTGGATTCCTGCAAGTACGGATCGCTCAGCTCTACTTTACCGCTTGTATATACTCATGTTCGTTCTGGCCTTCCTCACGTTCACTACTATCGTCGGCGCCCAGGACCCGCCCTTTGTTAACGACGTCACTCCATCTAGTAATCTCCCTGAGTGGGACGACTATTGCAAGTACAAGAACGGTCCTGAGAGCTACTGCAAGTACGAGCTTGAGCCGATGCTCTGCCAAGGAGGGGACCAACCGTGTGGTGATGGTCCCGTTCCCCCTGTTGAGATTACTACTATTACTTTGGTGTCAACCCCTTCCACAGAAGCCCCTTCCAGTACGACTATGAGTTCTTCGTCTATTGCGACTGGCGGTAACGATCAACGCTATGCTTGTGATGCATACTGTCAGAGTGTGAATGATATCAACTCCTACTGCAAATGGTGGTTCCAAGAACCTGTGTGTAAAGGTGGCGATCAGCCATGCGGTTCCCCCAGCATCTGCAATGGTGACTCGCCCGTCTCCACTACTCCGTTGACGCCCGAGATTGAGTCGTTGCCTCCCGTGGATTCTCCTTCCGATGGTTTACACCACTCTGAATGCGATTACATGTGTAAGAGTTTGAATAACGTCATGTCCTATTGCAAGTGGTGGATGGACGTCCCAGTTTGTCATGGTGGTGACCAGCCTTGCGGTGACGTCAACGAGTGCACCTCTCAGGAGTGGCCCGAGCCGAAGACCCCCACCCCTGCTCCAGGTGCCCATCCTGGTCCCTCCAGAGAGTGTGATGCCTTCTGTGCTGGTCTCAATGACGAGGGCTCATATTGTAAATGGTGGAAGGCTGTCGCCGTGTGTAAAGGCGGTGACCAGCCATGTGGTGTTGGGGATTGCGCTTCGAATACCCAATATATATCTGTTGATACACCCATGACAGTCTCCCCAAGCCAAGGGGACGGTGATCGCCACAGCGCCCCAAACGTCAAGTGTGATGCTTACTGTATTGATCAGAATCCTGGCCTGTCTGAGGATAAGCCAACCTACTGTAAATGGTGGCTAACAGCGGCCGTATGCAAGCACGGGGATCAGCCCTGTAGTCCGAGTATATGCGACACCGATGCTCCGTTGAGTGATGGTGCTCGCTGAGTATGAAGTCGATAATCCACTTTTCATCCCAATGTGCATGACAATTCTCGTTTCAATTTCGATGGCTGTGATGCGTTCAATAGTTACAGAGGCGAACGCGGGAGATGACCGCATTAGATGTAATTAATGATGTGGAATAAGGTAGGAAATATTGTATCCACTTCAACCATAGGGAGGGCTCCTTCACTATATTGTTACACCAGTTTTCCTACTCTGCGTTCGTTCTCTATTTTCCTGCTGTCTTATATGGATAGTGTCCTTGTGCCAATCATTTTCGATTATCAAGCTCTTGTTACATAACTGGGAGTGTAATAAAGATACTCTGTATCAGATGGATATTATCTGAAGAGTTTATCAACTGCAAGTATTTAATATCCTTTAGGTTACCCGTAATGATATTTCCCCTATGGCAACTTGTTCGCGAGAGAACCCCAGTACGAACGCAACATAGCATTGAGTACTGATTCACGTACATCAACACCATACATACAACAGGACATACTCAGCGGACTTATTTTCTGAAGAGGCGCGTTACTCGCCGTCTCAACGACGTTTGTTGCTCTTCCTTTCCGCGTTTTTCCTCATCGTGAATCTCCTTCAACTTAGTGAGTTCTTCTACCATTTCCTCGCCTTTATCTTTGTGGAATTCCATTATCCATTTACTTTTCCCTTTGAATTTCTCATATCCTGGGGCTGGATCATGCATGATCGCCTCAACAATGTAAAGACACTTCCTCAAGTCTATGTACTGATCCGCTTTCTCAACCGCGTATCTCTTCAGAACGTCTCGAGTGTGTTGTGATAAGTGAGATAAGGGTAAGAGACCTGCTTCTTCCAGCGTGTCCCAATACGTCTCGTTGCCCGAGTGGATTTTAACCTTCCCAGCTTGACCGTTGAATTTGTGTCCTCTCTTATCACTGAAAACAACAGCGTAAGCAATGACGAGTTTCCTTCAACTTACAAGCTGTATTTTTGCTCTTCCTCCGGGCCTGAAAAGGAAGTGCGTAGAACTTCACCAGGCTGTGGTTGATCCTTTGAAGCAATGGAGAGTGTAAACTTCATCTTCTTGAGAGGTTTCCCCTGAATGATTTGGCACCCCGACGGTTTCCTGTCAATTGCAATCTGCAGAGGAAGCGTTGGAACTACTTCTATGAAGATTTTACCCCTTTATCTCTATAAAGGATGATACGTTCAAACTCTTTAGGGCTCGGCCGGGAATCACCTCCACCAGAGCCGCTCAAGGCGACAATGAGACCTACTGAGAAGAGGACTGCGAGTGTGGAAAGGATGAACATGCTTCGAACACCTGGAGGAATCGATAATAATAGGACACTATGGCGTGGCTATTGCACGTGGATGATTCACCCAGCCAAACACAGATTCCATGGAAATGAGGTTTCGAGCGGGCCACGAGAGCGTCGCCACCACGGGCCTCGAGCGTTTTAACACCCATCAGCAAACACGATAGCTCATTGAGGCTTAGCAGTAGGCGAAGCACTACTGAGACAACAACAGAGCATCTGTTGTGAGAGTGGTATTAAGCAGAGTTGCTGAGACTCTATAACAGTCGAATTAATTCACTGATCTTGTGACGATGTGCCATGTATTACTCGCTATAATGGAAAGTTTCAATTCATTCTCGCGACTATAATACAGCTTACACTGGTATTTTTGTACCAGCTTTAATTACTGTCGTTTAAACCCTCTTGTCAAGATACCCACGAAGCTTCGATCAGCCCTAAGGTGACCCAGGGTTTTCAAATAACTGGCACACTCAACACACTGTCATTCAATAAATACGCTCTCTCCACAAAATGAACGACTCCGTTAACTGGAAAGCGTTCAAATACAATAAAAACATGTTAACAACCATATGTAGTTGTGTATATCGCAGAAAAAAATACTATGCAATTTAGAAAGGGCTATAATGTAGCCCCCACACGCCTCAGAGTCTGGACATCGAATCAGCAACTTTCCGAAAATGTTCCTCTAGTATGTCGTGTAGTTTCTCTTCACACTGTATCATAAGAGCATGCCCTGATTCGGGTATCTCAACCACTGTAGTGAGCTCAGGTACAGCACGACGAGCTATTAAACGGGATGCTTCGGGCGGTACCAACTTGTCCTTACCACCGTATATTATCAATAATGGCATCTGATAAGAGAAAACAACAACATCAGCATCGCTCCGCCTCCCTCATCAGTTTCATACAACACTGACAGCGACCAAGACTGGTTGTGATACACCAATTCTTGGTCGCTTTCTTTTCGTCATGTACTCACGCACTGCACGAATAAAGTGAAGAGATACAGCAACAGTGAAGAAAGCTATAGTTGATGAAAACCTTGTGATGACGATGGCGATTGCTGTCAGTCTTACTAGCAGCGTATCGTATTGCCACTTCGAACGAAGTGAACTCTGTTGAGAACTCCAACTACAATGATAACGATACAACTCCGTCAATTAAGGCGTAGGAATATTCAACCAGAGCGACCCACTGCTGCTATTACACATAAACATTAATATCACTCGCCCAAGACATAACAACTATGCGCCGACGGATGTATGAGTATAGGAAAATATGCATGCGTTGGTGACAATGTCGAAATTTCTCAGCTAAATTTCACAAAATTCCCCTTCTGTATACTTCTACCCTAAGTCGTATACAATTACTATAAAAAGCGAATATCTATTCCTCCAACATTGCAATAGCAGAAAACCCAAACACCATAGCCTCGCGTTTCCCCACAAGACCCACTCTAAGGGTTGTATGAAACTTTTCGATTCCCTCCTCCCCAACCGAATGGTCAAGCAAGCCGATAATCTGCTTCAACGCATCCCCAGGAGTCGTCTGTGGTACTTTCTTATATTCGTCAATCACATCATAAGGCAGTTCCTCGCGCTCAATCCGAGCGAACGCCTCCACTATAGCCTCTCTGAGAACATCGCATGTACGGTTGAGTCAGTAGAAATGTTTTCTACTTATTTTCATGACGATATTTTTTCGGAAAGAGCATTCGCAACATCGGATGGTCCGCTTTGACCTCTCCAGTGTGTTTGTCTGTCAAGGGCCCCCCGCCGCCCGTCGCCAGAAGTAATATGAGATCAGTGAGAGCTCCGAATGAAGGCAAAGTTGACAAGTTCGAACGACAATGGGTTGTGATCAACACTAATGATTTGATACGAACAGATGCAGATCCCTGATCAAATGAGGAAAAAGGCAATAACAGTGCTTTTGATATGAAATATGACTCGCGATTCAACCAAGGAATAACAATGGAGTTTCACAACCCGTTTTACGTGAAGTGACGTAATACTCCATGAAAACGCGATATTCGCGGTGATATGCAATAGTACTAGTGTTTT